AATAATAATAACAATAATAAAAAAATAAAAGAGAGTTATTTTATTTTTTTATTATTATTAATTAATTTTAAATTAGCTATGAGTATTTTAGTTATTGATGATTACTTGCTCAATTTTCATAAAGAACACGAAATAAAGGGGGAAAAAAATGAAAATCGAACACTAGAAATTGTTTCATGATGAAATAAGAAAGATAAAATCATATAGCAACTATAATCCTCCTCTTGTCGGAATCGGAGGTTTGTTTGGACAAATGGGATTTCAGAGAATCTAAACTAAGGCCATAGCCAATCCCTTGCCCGTATCCAAATCCAACACCGATGCCACAACCTGCGCCGATTCCAAACGCCAGCTTCAGATGGTTCCATGGCCAGCCACCATAGCCGATTCCTCCAACTAGAGCAAAACCCACTCCAGCTCCACATCCAACTCCGGCGCCAACCCCAGGGCCCAATACGATGTCCTCTATTTTCCGGCTGTTCTCGCGAAAGAATTCTGACACAGGGAATTGCTTTCCCTCCTTCTTCCTGATGTTTCCCTTCCAGCTCCACAGGGAATCGGAGTCTCTGGACTTGGTTCCCATGGAATTTAAGTACGAGCAAAGATGAAATGATAGGGGTTTGGTTGCAGGTCGCAAGATGTTCTCTTTCCTTTATGGTAATTTCCTACAATAATATTCTTGTGTTGTGCATGTGCTATGTTGTGGACTATGTTTGTTTTTATTGGAATGGGCCGGCCCGTTTTCATATCCCTTTTTCGGCCTTTTTGTGTTATTTGGACTGTTTAGTGTAAGATTGCTGTTTTGCCATCTAAATTAATTAAATTGTAAAATAAAAATTTTTGGATAGAACCCTCAATATTAAGGCTCACTGCTCATATAAGAGTTTATGTTTTGTAGTTTAATATAGTCCATCTCCATACTACAAAACAATTTTTTGATGTAATATTTACTAGCTAACAGTGACTTCCAACTTGAGTTGCCTGAGCATTGGTGTTCATCTCATTTAGTAACAGTATGCCTGGCTTTGACTTGTATGAGCTTAAGCACTGGATTTGAATCTCATCTCCTCATTTTTTAAATTTTGTATATATAAGGGGTTAGTAGTTTTTTGTCTTACTTATTAAAAATTAAAAAAAAAATTACTTTAAAATTACGTCATTTTAATAAAATATTACTAAAAAAATAAAAAAATCTAATTCATACCATTAAAATAGGGTATTTTAATTTTTTTTTTTTACAAGAGTTTATTGAATTGATTTATTTTTCTTCTAATATTTGAAAGGTAAGGTAAGTAACACTTTTCCTACCATATAGATATTATTAAAAAAAAGCATGAGTTCAAACTTTAAATTTAAATTACATGATATATAAGTCTATCTAATTGAAAACACTGTTTTTTAAAAAAACTAATAAAGGATAACCTCTTTTGTCATATATTTGATATACTATTCTTTTGCTATCAAAAGTTTAATGTCTGTGATTACTAACAAATTAGTGAAGCATTATGCATGAGAACATGAGATTGAAAAAACTTGGAAAGCGTGTGCAGATTTTTCAAGAACTTGGGATTTCTTCCATTGTTGGATTGAGGGGGCCATGGTTAGTTAAAGTTGTGACATAGAAGCAATCATACAAATAACAATAACAATTAATCTCTCTTTTAAAAAAGAAAAAGTATGTCTTAATCTAACTCTCATTCTTTCGTGCCACGCCAAACATTCCCCGTCACCTAACCTCACGCCTCACTCTATCTATAGTCCAAACTATCAAATAATCACAAAACATTCACCTAATTACTGTTCTGTGTCAATGTGTCGTCTATGAAGATGGATACGACACCGTTCTGTTCATTATTATAAAAGACGGTTTTTTATTACAATGGCGGGAAGCGCATTTTTTTGCTTTATTTTCGGTTGTTCTCCAGTGTGATTCCGTGTAATGAGCTTCCATTGTCTCAATGTATAAGATTCCTCCACGTATGCATCAGAACATCGAATTTTGCAATGATTGCTCGACTCCACCTTGTTAGCGTGGACTAACATGTATTTGATAGGATTCTTCTTATCTGTCCTATATATATATATTCTCCCTCGCTCCGCATTCGCCGTCGAGCTGGTTGATCCAAAATGGAGAAAGCCACATCTTCCTCGTCCAATCAGAAAGCCAATTCCGGTGCCACCGTCAATGCTACTGGCACTCCATCGCCGTCGTCTCCACATCACGATCACGACCGACACCGTTGCAACCAAGATTTCTCTACCAATCTTACATCGTGGTACCATTCAATTTTCCCTCCAAAATCTCCCTTCCATTGCTCCTCCCTCACGCCTTCCACTTGCTCCTCATCTTCAGACGACTTCCAGCTGCTCCTTGACCCTACCTCCGATGAGATCGCTACAGAGCGCAGACTCAACCAAGCGCGCCTCATCCTCGAGTACCACCAGCTCTGTCAACACTACGATCTGTGCTTCGCTCGTCTCCAGGTCCTCTCCGGAGAGCTCGAAACGTTGCGTAGGGAAAACGCGGAGCTCCGCTTGACCAACTCTGAGCTCGTCAAACTCTTGAGTCTCTCTTCTCAGGCGGCGATGAAACGAACTCTTCGGAATGAAGATATTACGAATTTCAACATGCAGATGCAGATGCAGATGCAGAGTGAGGAGAGGAACGTTAAAGGTGTGGAGTGCAGCTCGCTACCGAACAGTATAACAATTAGGTCGAGTGGTTATGAGAAGATGAACAGACAGCAAGGACCGAGTCGGATGCGAATCGTCACTCCACTCGTCTCTGGATCTGTGAGTTCACGATCGGTCTGTTTTCTCCAACTTTCCGTTTCATTAATTGTTCCTACAATTGTTTGGGAAAAGTTCGTACGGTTAGTAGTCTGATTGATGAAACTGCACCTTATGATTTTCCTTGGCCAAACAGAAATTTTGGACATTATTTGCTTTATATTAGTATATTTTCTCCATTTTTATTTTTAATCTATTTTCAATCTTTTTTTGTCGAAATCCAGTTTCAGTTTTTACCTGTACAGTAGTACTATATTAGGATTTTTTTTTTTA